TTTTTTGTAATTTTTTTAGTTTTTAACATTAAGAACTGTGAATAAACCTACTCAACTTTAAAGATAAAAGTCGCGGAGAGAAAATAATCGTTACCTAAAAAGATAACTCTGTCAAAACGCGAGCTTCTAATTCGTTCTCCACATCCAATGTGGAGAATATATCCTCTATAAATATTTCTCATCTTCCGTTCGGCCGCGTCAGGATCTAAAATAATCGCACATTAAATATTAAGCGAGAATCGATCGTGGAAAAAGTACATGCTAGAAGTTAATGGCAATTTTACCTAAGTCTCCTCCCCATCCCTATCTCAAATATCGCGCGGACGTACTTTAATTGCAATAACTCACCTACAGCGTAACGTACCAACCCCGCTCGTTTGTTCTATCACCCGAAAAGAGCGATAAATTTGCTTGGAGTGCACTTCCGTCTAATGCAAGCGCCGGCGCACGCACCTCCAGGAATTTTATTTGTCCATATGTTTAACCACGACGAAGATATGGACGGTATGCCATGTGACACGAATATTATTATCTCCTCGCTTGCGAAATTTAACTTTATGCCACGTGCGGGGAACCGCCTTAAAGTTTGCGACAATGTGAACATGCTATTAGACCACTCGATCAAGTATTCAGTAGTTATAGTACGGAATTTCTGATACAAATATGTTCAACGTTCTAAATCACGTTTCACGTCAAATAATATTACGCCAAGAATTTTATTTAAATTTTTGAAAAAGCTCAAAAAATAATAGTATTCTATAATACTTAACTGTTTATTATTATATGTATGAAAAATAAATTATATTTAACGATTCAGTGCCATTCTCGGTATGGCGTAGAATTTTTTTATTTATTTTATATACACTACTATAATTTTTTTTATTAAAAAAAATACTACATACGCATTTGCTTGTTACCGTTAAATTCTTTAAATTCTGGTATTACGGTTGAAAAAAAATTTGTTATAACGTTTATTTTTGTGCTACACACATAATATCCAATGTTGCATCTGTGAAAAAAACATGAAAAAAACATGAAAATAGGTATAGTGTGGCACTGAAGGGTTAATTTATTATGTAAGTTTTTATATGTATATATATATAATGAGCATCTCATATTTTACTCAGCAAATAATTCATAAAATGTTAATTAATCAAAGTGAAAAATATTTATTACTACTGAGAGTATGTATGTTTTTTAAACATATATAAAATTCTTATATGAATTTCTTAAAATTCTTTTAAAATTACATAAAATTTAGAAGACATTTATGCATCCTGTATTATAACTGCTGTATAGCTTAGCCGAGCGACTATATTCGCTAAAACTATTATTGATATTATAAAGTTTGCTCAGCATATGAGTTGCAAGTAGTTTTCAATGTGAGTATCATATATGAAAACTCTTGTTCAAATGCACGAACAAGATAAATATTACATCTGGGACAAGATAATACAACGTTATTTGTGCATTCTGTTACAAAAATGTTATCTGTAAATAAAAAAAAATATATAAATCCAACTTAAAAATTTATATTACAATTTTTACTATATATTCTTGTTGAAATAAACGTCATCAAAATTTAACATTTATGTCGGACAATGAAAGATATCAAGACCTTCCTTCGGTATATTTGTTTCCTTCAAGACTAGCGGATTATAAATATCCCGCGGTCATGCTATTTTTACAAAAAGCGGAAGAAACTTCTTTTATCACCGATCCCGTTTACCACGAAATGCACCAGATTTTCGCAACCTCATCTACCGTAAAATATGTCGGGACTGCACGCTCGTTACGTAGAAATAATTTCCTCCAGTGAAAAGGTATATGAAGATATTCAATCGGAAACGATGTAAATTGGCTTCATTCGCATGCGACTATTTTTCGAATAGTCTCTCTTTAGAATCAGAGTTAAGTCATAAAATGTCCATCTTAATTGTGAGATACTGTCAAGAAATCTTTAGTCATTTCGTAAAATAAAACGATCGTATTTTTGATATCTAAAATATTAAAACAATTCTTAAATCATTTTATGTGATTATTTTATGTGCCTATAAACAAAATTTTCATAATATTACGCACATATATATTAATATATTTATATTACAGAAAATAAATTTATTGTTATTATTATTATTATTATTACATAATATAATTTATTTAAATAAGAAATAAGATGCCCTAAAATAATTCCGTAACCGTATTTCAAAAGGTTTCATTAATAAAATTATATTATATTTACAGAATTGTTGGAAATATCTCCAAAACTTAATCTTTTAAAATCATTATAAATTTGATTGACTCAAGATCAGTTAATATCTTCTTCGCGTTATATTTGAGCATTATCTTAATATAGATTCACACAATCAACTTATCTCATTTTCTCAATTTCTATCTTCTTTTTTATCGAAAAAGTATTTACGAAAAATACCATTAGGTAGATTCGTTCTTTTGTACTCAGCGATTCGTTATTTTGTACTCAGCGATACGAAACAAACAAGTGTAAGATAGTGGCAGAAACGAGATCATGTTATGACATGGAAAATTCGTGGCGTGGAATTCATCATACTTTCCTCGAATGTACATTGCAAAAAAGCTACGCAATAAGTACTTTAATCCGAGATGAGAGCTACGAGAAGGTATCAAGCAGAAGTATAACGACACTATACTACATTTACTCTTCTCATAGACGTAACACGATGTTTGGAAGCGGAAAATCAGATTATATAACTTAACGGATTGAGAAAATTTTAATTTCGAACTTTAACAAGTAGCAACTTCTTCTAAATATAATATGCACCGTCAAAATAACACTTTCTTTACTTTTATCTTCCATTTCAAAAAAACCAAGATAATATAAATGCACATTAAATAAGTATTAAAACAAATTAATGCACAAATAAATAATACGAATGCATAATCAAAATGACAAAGAAATATGATTTGTTAGCTAATTCGTTAGAATTGAGTCATTACATATTGTCACTTATTTTTAAATTTGTAAAAAGAATCTGCAAATCAGCATATCAATAATAATTACTGTTTTTTAAAAAAAGTTAAATAGTTCAAACATTTTAACACATGTTTCAACATTTTCGAATCATTCCCATTCCCATTAATTATATTTCATCGAGTTGAATAAAAAAAATGTTCTGTATAACTAATATGTTTTATGTTCTTATAAGTATAAAAGTGATCATTTATTTTGTTAAATGGTCTTCATGGTTAACTTTATTCCATTGAAATATAATTTTCTCTCTACTTTATATAGAAAAAAAACGCAATATACACAATGTCTTTGTTCGAAAGAAAAAACGTCGTCTAAAAAAATATTTAAACTGGTAGATTAAGAGCTACGAAAATACTTTTATATCATAAACAAAATTTGCATATATGTTTTAATACTTAAAAATATCTAAATCTGAATACTAACGAATTTGAAACAAACTTTTATGAAATTATTATATATGTAAATACCATACACATACATCTCTATATTATATATATATGGCATTCATATAATATTTATAATTAATAATTTTAGATATTTTTATACGTAGAGTATGACTGTGAGGATAAAAACTATTATACACTGTAAAAGCCAAGTTTTTTAGTAGTTCAGTTGTCACAATTTCCAGTTATTCCAAGAAAACAGCCCTAGAATAAACGGATGAAAAGTTATCGATTTTGGAAAAGCTCGTCGAGAGAGCACTTTAGAGACGAGTGTACGTAAACATTCATCTGGGATAACAATGCACAATCGTGTTTATCGTGAAGCGTAGTGTACACCTGCATTGATCGCGAAGCGTCGACAATCGCAAGATCACACAATACAAATATTACATTAACATATGCACAGGTAACGTACAATGCGTGTGCAACTTTATACAAGTTGGATTTATTAGAGGAGATCAAGGGGTCATGAAAAATACATTAAAATATGTATACGCACATGACATTACTTTAACGGAGAGAATTAAATCCCACGCTCAATTACCGAATATATATTATCATGTTTTGCGTATTTTAATTAGATCATTATCATTTTATAATGTTAAATAGAAAATCGTATTTAATATTGCGTGAATATTAAATGCGTATCTTTGATTTACGTTCTTGACATATAATATTTAATACGCGAGCATAATGGAATTTTGATCCAGTAATGATTTCCGAGATAATTTATTTATTAGACTCGACATTTATTTGTGCGATTATTATTATATAGTTGTAACTCTTCCTCTCTTAAATAATATTGGATTTAAGTTATGTCGTTTATTACGCTCTCTATGCATTGTAATATAAAATATATATCGTTTATATTATACTAACTAGAACGCGCTATTGACACTTAACTATCTCGCCTGTGGTATATCCTATATGGCCTATATAATTACACGTAGAACAATATAACCGAAATCCCAACGGAACTAATATCCATTTAATTTATTTATTGCTTTCAACAAACTTCATGACCTGTATCTCGGGAAATCGTCTCATATGAAAAGCAACTGGGAGCTGGGTCCAACCTTTAACTGCTAAAAGGAAAAACGATGATGACGCTTATGAAACCACATCATCGGAAAAAGCGTCACAACGGAATTAATTTTGCGAAAACTTAACAATTTTCATTTCCAAATTCAAATAAGAGTATAACGCATAATTAATAGATAAGATTTTATTTCAGCGTGCCGTAGAACGACGTAAAGTCTTCTATACTTGATGAAGCGCGAGCGATTAAACGAAAATCTATAATCACAATTTCTAAAAGATCCCTTTGTTACTCTGTGACCTTTCCTACGAGACTCGTGACTTGCAGCACTTTCTCCTCAGATGGAAATCAAAAGCCATACAAAAGAATCCAGCATCTGCACGTGCATCAAGTGATTTTGCTCGCATGCAATCATACAAACAGCGTGCATTAAATCTCATCGGTCATCGTCGGCACCCCGGCTGTCCTACCGATTTTTTCGTGCTGCCGGTCATACAATTTTACTCACAGACTCTGCGACAAGAACCGCGACAGCGCCAGCTTGCTGATACGATTGTTTTTCAGGCCGTCCAACATAGCCGATGCCGCGATTTCCATTTTCGAATTTTACCTCCGCTTCCGCCGCCGTCGTCTAAGTGGATTCAGGATATTCAAGATGCGGAGCGTCTCGCGAACGTCTCGCTTCCGCGAATTCAATCGACCTATTCGCCGATTTTCCGGAAGATCTCCACCGGAAACGGTCGCTCTTACCCTCTCGCGTTCGCTTTATCTCCCAATGGCGACGCACTCTACGTGCCCGTTGCCGATTCTCTGGCAGCTCGTCGATACATCTCATTTCATGATTTGCTTCCCTCACACGATGTCTTCCTTTGTACGGACTTCTTCGCGGACGAAGTACAAACTTTCTTCCTCGTATCTGTACGACGAAGAAGAAACTTTACGATGCAATGACGGAAGATGCAATTATGCGAACTTGGGTCGCTTCGATGGATCGATTCGATGTTCTCGTTGACGCAGGTAATTCACCTCTCCTGCCTTCGACAGCCACGCGCTATCGATCCCGACGTGCGTCGAGTGGACTGCCTTTGTGAACAATAAGCTCGATTTATCGTTTTTCGATCAGGAACTTCTCGCGATCCTTTCTGTTACATCTATTATCATTCGTACTGTTATCTTTTTCGTTCTCGTTCGAGCACCCACTTCTCTAATCCCTTTCCTTTTTCTTTCTTCTTTTCCTCGAAAGACCTGCCCTTTTGCGGTCCTTCGTTTTTGTTACTCGCACTCTGCCGGTCGTAGGAGTGTTTATGTTAAACAAGATAAGAGAAAGAGCCTTCCAAAGGAAACATCATCGACAGGCGCGCTACGTCGTACAGGTCGGAAGTTCGAGTCGATGGTTTGGAAGTTTAGTTATTCTATTTAACCCAATTTCCAAGTGACTGGCCGACTCGCTCGTTACGTCTCATTGAATAGCGGTCGTTAAAATTATCACACAATCACGGCGCACTTTAATAGTCCTAGATTATGTAACTGTCGTTAGAACGTAACTCCGTGCGTGGCAAGAATATAGCACGCGCAAAAAAAGGTACACACAAATGCGCCCGCGTGCCTGCGTACGTGACGCGTGTATCGAACCGTCCCGCACTCCCGATATACCGGAAGTGCGCAAATTTAAGCGCACGCACTGGAAGATCGAGATGCGAGCCGCGAGAGATACGCGCGCGCCCGATAATCAACGCAAACAACGCGACGCAACAACAGGAACAACAATAACAACAACGATATAACAATCGGATCATCCGCGATGGCAACAATGAGACCTGTGTCACATTATACAATCATTATATATATCCTAAAGTGCAAGACGTGACAAATTTCATCACGTCCGACCGCACTCGCGGAAGTTTCTCTCTCTCTTTAGGTACAGCGGCAACTTCTCGTCACACATACGCAGGAAAATCGGAAAACTGACGAAACTGGAAACGCACAATACTCCGCGAGAAAGTAAATCGAATTTCCTATCGCTCCTTTTCTTCTTTTTTTCACCACTTAACTGTTCTTCGTTGTTTTCTTATATCGTGGAATATCGGGTTTCATCAATTATCGCACGTGTATATCTCTAATCGAAAGGGAAGATTGGACCCGTTGCCTTATCCTCGATATAGCAAAGAATAAAAATATAAGAGGGATGAAACACTCTTCCCCGTCTCTTCCGGATCGATCTACGATCTCTCTCTCCGAACGGCGTCGTAGCGAAGGTAAGCGTCTCGGACTGATAAATCCACTCCGACCACTCAAGGATTCGATCTCCCCCTCTCTCTCTCTCTCTTTCTCTCGCTTTCTTGAGGAGAAGCAATCTCGAGGTAGGGTTGTAAATTTGAAGGCGGCCGTTTCAAAAGAGTAAACGGACGAGCGAAAAGGCCGCCCGGGTTTTATCGTACGTAAAAGGATAATCGTGCATCTGAGAGTATGAGAAAAGTACGAGAACCAATCGAAGACAACAAGAGGTCGAGGGTTGCTTTCCGTGGGACAACCGTGCCGTTCGCCAAAACGCGGACTGCCACTCTGATCGACGGTATGACCTACTCGCACTGCTCTCAGCTGCTTCCAATCCCCCAAAGTCGTACCGCCATCCCTACCCCGTGACCATCCCCACCTCCCGACTTCGCGTTCACCCCCAGAGCAGTCGGTATCCCTAGCCCGATCTTCTCCGCTCCCCCACCCCATTTCAACTACCCCCGTTCCCTCTGAAGCCGAACCGTCACCATGTCCTCCTCCTCCACTCTCTGAATCCCCACTACGGGTCTGACAGCGCCGCTTCCACCCCGTGGCATCACTTCCCTCCCACCCCCTTTACCTCTCAACTGAACAACCTCGTCGTACACTCTCTCATCGAGGCTCGGAAAGTCCTGGTTTTACCGCGAAACCCTTAACGCTTTCCCTTAAGCTCAATTTTCAATTTTTTTGATCATACAAGAGGATTATGAGATTCAGAGACCTACCCCTCAATTTATCCGACGAATAGGCTAATCAGGTCGCGAATAAGCTAACATCGAACGACTACTCTTTCACGTGAGTGGCACGAGTGACTTTCTACAAAGCAAGCCAGAGCTTGGCAAACGTCGACGCTAGCGGTTATGCTCCTCCACTTCGCATTTGTGCGCGCGCGTACAACACCGTGCACATATAAACGCGCGTCTACGACGTATGCTACGCATACGTATCATTAACAACGGATCTTATCGATTGTTGTGCTGGGTACACCCAGGCGCGAGAATGCCGAATAAATATTAACAGCGCAATACTCAAACAAGAAACGCGTGTTTTGTTAGTTCCTAAAAGGCAACACATAACGGATGCTGGCGCATCTCGCTTTAAAAATACACGTCACGATCGGACCAATTTTTACCGAGAAAATATTAACCACGCAGTCTGACTGGGGAAAAAAACGCTGCTTTTAGTCTTATAAAAACTATTTTATGTAATCTCGTGTAAAAATATTATAGAAATGAACAAAAAGGGATAGGCCCAATATTACGGAACTAATCACTTATTAAGCAATATCATTTCTTATTGTTTGCGTGCGTAAAGTTTCTTTATGAGTCAGTAGAAGAGGAGAAACGCGATCTTTCACGTTGCACGTGTCTCGAAGGTAATTCACCCGACATCGTCGGTCAGGCTTTTAGTGTGACTCACGTTTTTCCCTCCTGAAATAAGAGCGACATTATGACACAAACCAACTTCACACCTTCGAAAGTTTCGCTTGAGCCATACTTTTAGATTTACGTAAAAGACACTGTATATGACCAACATATCTATTTACTGTTATACAATACGACGGTAGCATTTTAACTGATTTGACACGAGTCGGGTACTCTGACGGATATTGTCGGCGAGTAAGTATTGCATTTCGAGATACGTGTGGGCCGATAAAATTGACGAATCTGAGAAAGCATCGATCGATTGTTAGGCGAAACGCGAAACGTGACGAACATTTCGAACGTCCTTCGAGCATTTTGCAGATACCGTAACTCTGATTAGAAGCCGGCACCTGGCACTGCAAAACGATATCGCGGAACGATATCGCTGCTGTACAGAGCGAAATGAATAGTTTATGACCCGTCTTTGTTGATTCATACGCCATGGGTTTTTGCACGTATGCTATATCATAAAATATATGTGAAATTATATAAAAAGATTTAAGACTAAATTCTAATAAATGATTCTTTGAACAGTACTAAGTAAACATTTACTTACAGTGTTTGTTTACACTAAATAAATATTTACTCAATAAAAAATAGTAGAACTACCAAATAAATAGTTTTTGTATCAAATAAATGTTTACTTTAATAAATATTTATTTAGACAAATATTTAAAATTTAGTCATTTTTTTCAGTGCACAATTTTTAAATAAAATAGGATAAATTCAAATATAACAAAACTAATAATAAATAAGAATTCAAATATTGCGACTGTTTGAATTTCGCGTTGATGACAGCTAAAAAGTATTATATTAGGTGTTGGAATTAATTCGTAGCGTTTTTCAAGTGATGGGAAGTACTTTCATTAATGTATTTTTTAATGCTCATGTGAAATAAATAACATTCTTTCATTAAAAAACGCTACGAATTAATTCCAACACCTAATAGCTAAAACATGTTTTACATTTGAATGTTTCAATGTTAAATATTGAAGTTAACATCGCTTAAATGACAACAAATTACATATTATTTTTATAGACGGATAAAAAACAAAATTCAAGCGCATGCTAGCGTTAATTCCCATCAGTCTTTCTCCTTTGAATTTTAATTAAGGAATCCCAATTGTTTGATTATACAATTTTTTACATTTTAATCTTTTTCGCTATTTCTTATAATGTTTCTTCCAAATTATTTGCGACACACAATTCGTTAGATTGATAAAAAAGATGTATCATTTTGTCAAATAAAGTTGAATACAAAATTATAGCACGTTAAAATATAATAAAATTGTTGTTATGAATTTCAGTATACTTTTGCATCCAAAGAGAAATTTTTCGATCTCTTTCTCAAAAAAATTTTGGTCTTTAGCTTTAATGCCAAGCTAGACGGATAAAAAACGTAAATCTTTTGATTTGATCTCTTTTGCATTCATCTAATGGCTGTGCAGCAAACGAATGTCTGCACAAGGAGCTTTATCGATATGCCAATTACAATTTTCCAGCGAGATTTCTTCGCTATTTTGCACAGCAAAATACCCTACGCGCTCGTTTTACCGCGATAAGGGATTTGTCGTAATATAATCACGAAACGTATAGCCGCCTCCACACCGGAAGCAAATATGTATGCGAACGAATACATTAGCAGTCGTATCACAGTCACCTATCGCGATCCTTACCAAATAAAATACAACGATTCTGATCATGCCTCCAGGAATATCAGCGATTATCAACGCCAACCGCAGAGAGATGCCATTATACACGGAGGAATGGATGCGGCAAAACGGAAGCTGGTCGGAGAAACCAACGGTAACTTCCGTAAACTTCCGACCGAAGATGGACGTTGATGGAACGCTTATCCGTCTCATCTCATTTTTCCAGAGATGAGGGAGTGCGCAGGAAATCCCATAAGAGCCCCATCGAGAAAACCTTCGGAAATTTACGCCGTTTTTGCGATGCGTCACTAAGGTTCCACATTTGCTGGGATTGCCATATCATAGATAATCTAACACGCAATACGCACGAATCCGATAGTTTCTGATGTATAAAAGCCCGCGGCCACTTCGCTTATTACTAATTTATCTGTATCGGTTGAGTGATCGCGTGACCCCGAAACATATGAAGCGCAGTCATGTGTTAAAATAAGGATATATGGAACATCCCATTGCGCGTCTATCATGGATATTAAAGGTTAAATTCGAAATTATGATAATTTCAAAGCATAATATTCGTACCGTTAGACAAGTAAAATTTTGGAAATTAAAGTTGACGAGCGGTGACATCAAGATTAAAATATTTAAAGATGTAAAATCCGAATTGTCTGTTTACTCGAACTATTCAGATAATTCGAATCTGAATATTGAAAGAGTTGAGTCCGTGTAGTCGGATTCGAATTACAAAAAATTGAATGGAAAATTAATTGTAAAATAATATAACAAAGTTGATTGAAATTATACAAATATTCTATTAAGTATCTTATATTCATATAATTATATACGTACAAACATAACAATATATGTTTATTAAAAGTGTACAAAATATCATTTTATATTTCATAGATTCTTTGTAGTTACATAATGAAATGCGATACGTATGTTGAAAATTTAGAAAAATCTTTAGAAATAAAAAAGCAAATTGACCTTGAAATAAAAAAACCTAATTGAATATGTTTCAATAATGATACAAAAATTTCAACTGATCTACATGCTTAAGTTCTCTGAATGTGTGATATTCTCATTTGTGGAAAATCGTTACATGTAAAAGATATTCTTTCAAAATTAGAAGAACCAGCTAAATATAATAAATTGTAACTTGGCAATTTATTTTCTATTCTATTTCTTATATAGTAGCAAGAGTTCAAATCTGAATGACCGCGTATCTGAGAATCGAATATTAAGATTTCTATCCTCCGGCTAGTTCAGATATATATCAAACGCGAATAATGAAATAATACGAAATGAATTATCCAGATATTCGAATATTAACAAATGCCAACCATATTTGCAATTCTATTA